TCGACGCTTTTTCCTCATCTCCTCCTCCTTCCTTTCGCCTCCTCTCCTCCTCTTTTTGGCGGAGAGTGGGGTTGAGGCAGAATAAACGTTTTTCTTGTTTTTTCTTTTTCTTTTTTAATGTATTTGAATCCTACTGCGCAACCGGACCGGATCACGTGGGATTGTAGCGAGTTGGATCGATTTTGCACAGTTCAATGTGAGAAAAAAAGAGAGTGAAACAAACAACGATTATTTCCTTTTTTCTTTACTTCTCTGGATAACTGGGACTGTTTTGCATAATTGCAAGAGAAGGGGGTGTTTGCCTGGTTTCTTTTTTCAGCATTGGAGGTGTGGAGTATTAATTCTTATATGCCTGGGTTTTGAAAAACAATGGAGACGCACATTTCGTGCCTCTTCCCGGAAATTTTGGCCATGATTTTCAGCTATCTGGATGTGAGGGACAAAGGCAGGGTAGCCCAAGTGTGTATCGCTTGGAGGGACGCATCCTACCACAAGTCAGTGTGGAGGGGGGTGGAGGCCAAGCTGCACCTCCGCCGGGCCAATCCCTCTCTGTTCCCCAGCCTCCAGGCCAGGGGCATCCGGAGAGTCCAGATCCTCTCTCTGCGCCGTAGCCTGAGCTATGTGATCCAGGGAATGCCTAATATTGAGTCTCTCAACCTGTCTGGCTGCTACAATCTCACAGATAACGGGCTGGGTCATGCATTTGTGCAGGAGATCCCATCATTGAGGGTTTTGAACCTGAGTCTTTGCAAGCAGATCACAGACTCCAGTCTAGGCAGGATAGCCCAGTATCTAAAGAACCTGGAGGTGTTGGAGCTTGGTGGCTGCAGCAACATCACCAATACTGGACTCCTGTTGATAGCCTGGGGCCTCCATAGGCTAAAGAGTCTCAATCTGAGATCCTGCAGGCATGTTTCAGATGTGGGCATTGGACATTTGGCGGGCATGACCCGCAGTGCAGCAGAGGGCTGTTTGAACCTGGAGTACCTGACTCTCCAGGACTGTCAGAAACTGACAGACCTGTCACTCAAGCACATTTCCAAGGGGCTGACCAAGCTCCGAGTGTTGAATCTGAGCTTCTGTGGGGGGATCTCAGACGCAGGGATGATCCATCTCTCCCACATGGCCTCACTGTGGAGCCTCAACCTACGTTCCTGTGACAACATCAGCGACACAGGGACCATGCATCTTGCCATGGGCACCCTAAGGCTTTCTGGGCTTGATGTTTCTTTCTGTGACAAGATTGGGGACCAGACCCTGGCATACATTGCCCAGGGGTTGTACCAGCTCAAGTCTCTGTCTCTGTGTTCGTGTCACATCTCTGACGATGGAATAAATCGGATGGTGAGGCAGATGCATGAGCTGAGGACCCTGAACATTGGACAGTGTGTGCGCATCACGGACAAAGGGTTGGAGCTCATAGCTGACCATCTGACCCAGCTGGCTGGCATCGACCTGTATGGATGTACCAAGATCACCAAAAGGGGACTGGAGAGGATCACACAGCTCCCCTGCCTTAAAGTGTTGAACCTGGGACTCTGGCAGATGACAGAGAGTGAGAAAGTGAGGTGATTGGAAATGTTTGTTTAAGCTGTGCTTCTCCCATGTGACCGCAATTTTATGTTGAAATGTTTTATTTTTAGTGTTTGATGTGACTTAATATTATGCCTGGTAGGAAGCAATTCAAACTTACTTTTGTCATGAGCTCATAAAAGTCCCTTTTAGCAATTGTTTTGATCTCATACTGACTTTTAATATCTTTAAAATTCTGACATTGGACTGGAATAACATCAATGCAAATCATCTTGGTTCACACATTTTTAAAAACAAAATCAAGTGTAATTTTCTTCATACTATTAGAATAATCTGCTTCATTTATTGACACTTGCTTCCAGAAAATTCTTGAAGTGAAACTTGAATTCATCCATACTGCTAGATTCATTTTCATTTACATCAAAGTAAGGTTTTAAAACTTAAGAATGCAACTTTTATTTTTACAGCAAGCCTTGATTTGAGGCATCTGGCCATCATAGTCATCACACCTAAAAACATTTGGCTACCTCGAATGTGGTTGATTTCAGAGGGTGTACTGTTCAAAAAAACAGAAGGAAAGTGAGAAGGAGAGACTGGGAGAAAATGTGCCTAAAGGGACTGTGTCTGCCCCCTCCCCCAACCCTCCATCCCCTCCCTCCACGAGCAGAGCTGGAGAAAGGAGATCCGGACACAATCTAACTACCTTTGTGAATTTACCCACATAAACAGCAACAACTTCCCTGAGAGAGAAATAGAACGCGAGCTGTAAAATCTAAAATTATATTCTAAGAGGAAGGCGGTTTATGCACAAAAAATAGACCCATTTGTGTGCAAGAGCTTTTTATTGTTTGTTTTTAATTTTAAGGGATAAAGTCCAACTTTATCGCCCTTTAGGGACACGTTGTGTTCAAACTTTCACCAGTGCTTATTGGTGCGAGGTGAATCGTAAAAAGGCATGATCGGCACATTATTAAGCACAGTATCTATTAGTGCAAGTATGATATAAGATTAGGAATATCTTGTATCTTTTGTACGGGATGCTGGTGGAAATAAATGTCAGTGGATGTTCAAAGCACCATACTTCAAATTTCAGTGATTTCTATCCCTTTATTGATCGATACACATCAGGGTTTGCTCTATGGTTTTATTTTCCCACGTTAATGCCAGCACTGGTCGCATTCGTATTCATGTGGCTCTCAGCACTGTAGAGAGAGAGAGAGAGAGAGAGGAAGAAAGGGATGAGTATCTTTTTTTTTCTCCTCTTCTTCATCTCTCCCTTTTCTTCTCCCTGAATAAAAATACCCTGAATCCATTTTGAGACATGCTTAGAATAAGGAGTGATCGATTATTTTACTTTTCTCTCTCTGTCTTTGGGTTACACAAATGCGTCTCTCCTCCTCTCTGTCCTCGTCTCTCTTTCTTTCACACACACGCATTTACACGTGTGCACGGATGCCTGTGTACACGTGTTTTAATGTAATGCAATGACCTGCTAGAAAATTAATATACAGATGTGCGTCCTGTTAAAGCTGTGTGTTTGAAAATAAAAAGATGTACTGTATATTATGTGTTTGTAAAAAAGAAAAAATGCAGAATCCCCAAATTAAATTGTTTTATATTCTTACGGTTAAAACAATTAAAGATATTTATATAATGAATGAAGGTGTAGCACTTCATTGTTGTCACCACACTACCTGCTTTTCTTTACAATAATGCGATAAAATATCAGCTTTCATGAGATAACTTGACACTGTTCATCCACCTAAACAGTCAGTACCTCTATAGTCTTGTCTTGCAGTGATATTGTCCATCTTGAGGTGCATTTAATACAATAAAGGCTGTTGTTTTAATGCTCCTAATAACCATCTAGTCTTCTCAAAAGAAAAAAAGAAAAATCTGTTGTGCTCTTTTATTATTTATGAGGAGATTCCAAATGGATGCTTGCCTTCTTGATTTGGCTGCACTGCCTCTGTAATTAATTATTACCAAGACATTTACTATAGGAAGCTGTTCCACCCTGCTGAGTTTTAAAAAATCATCAGCATCTGTTTTTTTTTTTTTAAACCCTCAAATTCAAAAAAGGTATTCAGCTCCACTAGGTTCACATTTAAGACTTGTGGTTTCAGAGCACATGGGGGTGTATTTGTCAGATTTCATGGTTTAAATTGAAGGTTTGGGGTATTAGATTTGGCTATTTTTGCTGTGTTGTATTTAATGTGGGAGAGCTGTGCCTATGTGGCTGAGCAGAGTAATGAGATCTAAAGTTGGTTAGAGCAGACTTCCCTCTTTTTGCATCAGGACATGTCCTGTGTGTGAAGACACACACACACACACACACACACACACAGAGGGTTGCCAGGCCAGTCAGTAGCTATTGTCTGTCTTTAGAAGTTAGGAAGGCAGGTTGTGGTGGGGGAGCTTTTTTTCTTCTTTTCCTCTCTTTCTCCTGCTGTTGTTCAGTCAAGCATACCAGATCCTAAACCAGGCAGGAGACCCCCCAACCTCGTCTTGCCGCCCCCCTACCACCATACACACACACTTCTCTTTAGCATTCCACACCATCATTCAAAGCATTTAAGCATTCTCTCCTTCCTGACTCTCTGTCCATGGGGATTTGGGGATAAAGGGCAGCAGAGGGATTGTTGACCACAGGGAAAATGAGAGACCAAAAGAAAAGGAAAGAATGCCAGTGTTCTGAGTTTTTTAAGTTTGCTTTAGCTGGGCTTTGGTCTTGTGCAATAACACTGCAAGGAGTGTACACTGAGATGTGAAAGATTTGCCTGTGACATTCTGTGCTGCTTTGTCCCAGAAACATATACAAATCTGTACAAAAGTCACAGAAAGAATAACATGTCTGTGACTTAACAGTTAAACTATAAACTACTGATGCTAATGTATTTTGCCTATAACGTACTGTTGTTACATTGTGTGCCTTATACTGACTAACAAACATGGTTAAACTGTATGTGATTTCTGAATGCTGCAGCAACACAAAAAATGAAATAGAAGCAAATTCAAAATAAAAGAGGTGTGATATTGTGATAAATTGGAGCTTCAATACTGAGAAATTATAGAGTGGTAGGACATGTACTCCATAGCTAATTGTTTCTTTATCATTTGACATCTGGACCTGCAGAACTGTTAGGGAAGTTCTGCAGGTAGTTTGCCGTGACAAGGTATTATCACGGATATCTACAGAAAGGTCTGCAGGATGATATCTAAACTGGCAAAGATACAAACAGCTGTATTGAGATGATGATACTTTATTAAACCACATAGGGCAAATCTCTTTTGACCTGCTGCCATCCACAAGGAGGTCAGAGGTCAGCATCAGCTCAGAACCCCACTGCTGGAGCTACTGAGCATTTGGTGTCTTGCTCAAGGTGAAGGGCTGTCATGTTTTTACATGACCTTGCTTGCCTGCATGTCCTCAGTTGCTGTTCAATTGAGAGTTCTTAGAGGTGGTGCACACCACCTGTGAAGCACATGTGCACAATGTTCCAGATTCAAAAACTGAAACCTTTTTTTGATGAAACAATTCTGCTGAACAACTTGTGAGAAGAATGCAAATGGCTCCGTTATTGAATAAGATGCAGTCTTAATTTACATTATGACTGGAGAGCGTTGAGTATGAATTAAGCTCTGGAGTTTCACTACTGGGTGTTCAGCAGTATGTAGTTGCAGAGTATGATACATTACTTTATTGTATACTGTCAACTTTGCATTGTATGAGCAGAACTGCAGACTAAGTACTGAACCCTGGTCTTACAAATTTTTTCCTTGCACAAAAATAGAGAAAATATGCAAGAAAATATCACTGCACTTCACCAAACGTTAATTTGTATTTCATCATACTCCCTGCCTTGTAGTAGCTACTTTGAGCAACTGACCATTTTGTAATTGAATACTTTCATATTTGTTCCTCTTAAACACGGTTCCACTTCACTTTTGCGACATGTACATCCAGTAAAACGACACTTTTCTACAGCTGTACAAACGCAGCCCTTCTTTTAAACATTATATCTCTTTTGTCTAATCAGTACAAACCTGAAGTATCCTCTGTGGTCTGGTAACACAATGGTTATGACTGTGGACAGGCCAAGAACACAAAAACATGTTTTTATTTTTTTGTTTTTGTATGAATTAAACAAACAATATACAACATGTTCATTATTGAGGTTTAAGTGCTGTTATGCAGACTTTTTGCCTTGGGACAGGCTAACTGTTTCCTCAAGCTTTTAATTTTTATGCTAAGCTATCCATCTCTAACTACATATTGAGCTGAGAGATAGTGTATTAGGCTAGTACTGATCTTCTTCTAGTGCACTGTAGGATTATGGCTCTTGTTACCATTGCTAACTCTGAGAGACAGGACAGTCCAAGTAACTACAAAACAGTTCTGATCTATTCAAAGGATCACAGGTAAAATTAACATTACACACTCAGGTATCTTGCACCTCCAAACTGCTCGCAGGCAGATGTAAGATGAAAGACCCTGCACCCACCAGGCCTATACATTATATCCCTTTGGTTGGGCTAGCCCCATACTACACAGACACGTCAACCGAGGCGTCTCTGTTACCAGCTTTGCAGCTGGTCATAGCAGTAGTCAAAACATGAAGCAAATCAATGTGTGAATGTGTGTGTGTGTCTGTTGATTAAGTGGTGTGTAGCTAAAAACATTCTCACGACCTCTAGTAACATGTCGTGACTTAAACATAAGAACATATTATGGCTAAGGCTACAGTTATACACATCATAATAATAATATTAAACACCCTGTCTGCTGACAGTCATCAACTCTTCTCTCTAGTTATCCTTGACCAGAAGTACCCTGTAGAAACTCATAAGCATGACTAAGCATTTAACAGTCTAACTAGACATCCTATCTCCACTAAACATTTCTAATACATAAAGTATCTATCCAATTTCTATCTGACTAAAAATACCTAACAGCACCTATGTGACAGTCCAACAATTTCAACAAAATGTTGTGACATGATTCATCCACATGACCCATGAAAAGACTTCTTCAATTAGAGCATAAGTCTGAAAGCTGCTGCTGAACTCCTGCCTCCACTTTCCTGTATGATAAACATCACAACAGAATGAACAAGGCACTACCACCACCATATTCCAGGGTTCCTTTTTCCTGTGTAACTCAAAAGGTCTCATTGAGGAAGCAATACAAATATATTTGCAGTCATTGTACTGCAAGGCAACTATGATCAAAACAAGTGCCAAATGGCTTTAAGTTAAGAATAGGCTCTCCTTGAGAGTTTCTCTTCAATCCCACATAGTCTGCCCGTCTGCATGATTGACAGCTTCTAAACAAGTTAATTCAAAGCTTACAAGGCACCCAAATTAGACAAAGACCCACATTTCTGCCCCATATAGGTTGCTGACAAAACCTTTTCATATAAATGCTGCTTTCACATTTGAACTTTGATGCATGTCAGTGAGCATGTGTCTGTGTGTGCGTGTTAGGCACGTTGTAAAAGTTGAACTGTGACTTGTCACGTTGCACTCTGAACCACATTTCCTGTCAGGCAGAGAGGAACAGCAGTATGTGTCTGTGTGCGAGATTTTGTTTTACTGCTGTAATTAAAGGAATAGTTCACCATTAAAAGGGGAACTGGAGTTCTTCACAACAAAACAGCCAGGGTATTAGCAGATGAGTGTTACTGCCCTCCCCCACATCTCTTTGTCTCTGGCTGTAACTTTCTGTCTGCCTGTTTTTAAGTCTGCCT